CTTTTTTTCCATTGCACAGTTTTGCTATCTTTCTCAAAAATTAATTGACCATAGGTGTGTGGGTTACTTTCAGGGTCTTCAATTCAATTACATTGATCAGTTTTTGTTTGTATACCAATCAAACAGTTTTTATTACTATTGCTCAGTAGTAGAGCCTGAGGTCAGGATGATGATATCTCCTGAAGTTCTTTCATTGTTCAGGATTGTTGTAATTATCCTGAGTTTTTTGTTTGTGTTTTTACATATGAAGTGGAGAATTGCTCTTTAAAGCTCTGAAAAGAATTGCACTGGAATTTTTATGTCAATTACATTGAATATGTAGGTGGCTCTTGATAAGATAACCATTTTCATTATGTTAATCCTATTGACCCATGTGCATGGAAAAAAATCTTTCCTTTCTCTGATATATTTCTGAATTTCTTAAATTGAAGTTCTTGTTATATAGCTTTTTCACTTGCTTCGGTTAGATTTATGCCAAGATATTTTATATTAATTTGTGGCTATTGTAAAGGGTTTTGTTTCCTTTCTTTCTTTGCCCTTTTATCATTTGTATAAAGGAGGACTATTGATTTTTGTTAGTTAATTTTGTATCCAGATACTTTGCTAAAGGTGTTTATAACATATATAAGTCCTCTGAAAGATTTTTTTTTTGTGATTGCTTATGTATAGTAACATATTATCAACAAATAGTTTACTTTGACTTCTTCATTTGACTTCTTCCTTTCCAATTTGATCTCTTTTTGTTGTCTTGTTGCTCTAGGGAGCACTTCAAGTATGATTGGAATTGATAGGGAGAGAGTGTGAAGTTTGTCTTTTCCCTGATTTTAGTGTAATTCTTTAAGTTTCTCACCATTTAACTTGATGTTGGCTATTAGCCTGTTGTATGCTCCTTAAATGTTTTTAGGTTTGTCCCTTGTGTCCCTGATCTCTCTGAAATTTTTAACATGAAGGAGTGTTTTATTTTGTGAAAGGTTTTTCAGCATCTAATGAGATGTCATATGATTTATTTTCAGCTGTGTACATGGTGGATTATGTTGCTGATTTTTTTTATATTGACCCATCCCTGAATTCCTGGGATGAAGCATGATGTTTTTGATGTGTTCCTGGCATTGATTTATGGGCATTTTATTGACTATTGTTACATCAATGTCCATAAGAGAAATTGGTCTGATATTCTCTTCATTCGTAGAGTCTTTGTGTAGTTTAGGTATCAGGGTGCACAGAATGAGTTTGTTAAAGTTCAATTGTTTCTATGTTTTGGAATAGTTTGTGAGTATTGTCAATAGATCATCTTTGAAAATCTGGTAGAATTAAGCTCTAAAGCCATCAGGCACTGGGAAATTCTGCTGGAAAATTTTTGATGACTACTCCTATTTCCTTAGGAGTTATTGGGTTGTTGAAATAGTTTATGTGGTCTTTATTTATCTTGGGTAAGTGGTATCTATCTAGAAAATAATTTATTTTTGTTCAATTTTCTATTTTTGTGAAATACAGGCTTTTAGACTTAGTGATTCTTTGAATTTACCTATTGTCTATTGTTATGTCTTCCTTTTATTTCTGATTTTGTATATTTTGATACTGTCTCTCTAGCTCTTGGTTAGCTTGTATAGGGGTTTGATTATCTTGTTGATTCTCTCAAAGAAACAGCTGTTGGTTTCATTGATTCTTTGTATTGTTCTCTTTGTTTCTAATTGATTGATTTCAGTCATGATTTTGATTATTGGCTGCCTTCCAATACTCTTCAGTGTATTTCATTCTTTTTTTCTAGAGCTATCAGATGTATGTTTAAATTGCTGCTATGAGAACTATCTAATATCATTGTGGAGGCACTTAGTCCTATCAACTGTCCTCTCAACACTGCTTATATTCTGTCCCATAAATTTAGGTATTTTGTGCCTTCATTTCATTTGAATTCTAGAACATCTTTTCTTTCTTTCTTTATTTCTTCCTGACTCAGTGATTATTGTGTAGAGGGTTGTTGAATTTCCGTGAATTTGTACACTTTCTGGATTTTTCTTTTGTTGTTGAAGTCTCACTTTAATCCAAGCTGGTCTGATACCATACAAGGCATTATTTTAATTTACTTGTTCTGTTGATGTGTTTTGTGACTTATTGTATGGTCTATTTGGGAGAAGGATACATGAGGTTCTGGGGAAAAGATATATTCCTTTGCATGTGGGGGAAACATTCTATAGATGTCTATTATATCTATTTGACTCAAAACCTTTATTGCTTTCATTATTTCTCTGTTTAATTTTTGTTGGTTGTTATGTGCTGCTCCTTCCAAAGCCTGATGGGAAATTCCTTCTCTTGATTCTCCTTTTCTTCTTAGGATCCAGAAGTCAGACCATTACCGTGCACTCAGGAATTGGATCATGATATCTTTTATTGACCAAATTAAGAACTAATTAGAGAATCAGACCTTACTATGAGCACCTTCCCCTACAAATTCCAACCAAAACAATTATAAATTTGAAATGCTAATAGAAGATATAAGCAGTTAATTCACAAATATAATTATGTTGCATACAAAATAATGTTGCATGGTTTGAATATTTCCTCTTGCTAATTTTTTTTATTTCTGTGATAAAATACCGTAAAAGAAGCAAATTAGGAAAAGGAATTTATTTTGGCGTACACTTCCAGAGAGGCACTAGTCATCATTTTAGGTAAGACTTGACAGCAGGGAGACAAATAACAGTGGCAGGAACAAATAATTGGCTGGTTACATTATATTTTCACTCTGGAAACAAAAGATTAGACAGAAAATAAGGTAACAATAGAAAACCGAAGGCCGGTGCCGAATGTCCCAATTTCTCCAGTTAGGCTAAACTTCTTGAAAGTCCTACATGCTCCATTATAAAGTCATCAACTAAAGACAGAGCATCCAGGTATGAAGCTACTTGACAGTCAAACCACAGTAGCCCTAAATATTCTCATATCGTCTGTGCAGGTTAAACTTGAAAAACTACCAGATTGTTCTGGCAATGGTTTATGCCATTGAGGAGATCAACAGAAACCCCCATATTTTACCCAATGTGTCTCTGGGATATGATATTTATAATGTCCTGTTTAATGAATGGTGGACATTAGACAGATGCATCACATGGCTGTCTGGGCTGAAGGAGTATGTGCCTAATTACACGTGTAAGAAAGAGATGAAGTCTGTTGCAGTACTCACAGGCATATCCTGGATAATATCAGCCAATATAGGGACACTGCTGAAACTCTACAAATATCCACAGGTAAGAATGAGTGAAGTGGAAAAATATAAAACCATTTATACCTCAGTGCCATTCCAAGGAGCTAAAAGAATATGGAAGAAAAATGTGCTTATGCATCTGACAATGTTCATAATCCCAAAGAGTAAATGATCAGTGATGTTTCAGGACAGAGAAAGGGAATAGTCTGGAGAAGACAATGGTTACCCTGAGTGTAAAGATATGATGGTTTAGAGATACAGCTTTGTGCATAAAGTATTTGATTCATAAACATGATGAACTTACTTTAGATATCTCTCACACACATAAAACCAGTGGAAGGCTGTACACGTCTTTAACCTCAATTTTTGTAGAGACAGGTGAATCACTTGAGCTCACAGATTAGACAAGGTAACCAAAAGAGTGAGCTACAATTTCACTTAGAATCCTATCCAAAAAAAATGGAAAAGAAAAAAGGGGAAATTAAGTATAGTGGATAATAACAAAGATCAACATTATCAATCTTTGGACACATGTATAATTATTAATTATTTTATTCCCTTTATATTCTTTTCCTTTTAGCTGACTATTGGGTCTTTTGATCCTAACCTTAATCATGAGCAGTTTCCTAGTCTATATCAAATGCCCTCCAAAGATATGTCTCTATTTCATGCCATTGTCTCTTTGTTGAATTATTTTCACTGGAATTGGGTAGGAATCATCATGTCAGAAGGACAAAATAGTGTTCAGATCACGTCAGACTTGATGGCAGAAATGGAAAGAAACAGAATATGTGTAGATTTTGTGGAAATGATATCAGTTAGTGAAGTATCTTATTTACCAAACAGACAACAGAATCCTACACAGATTCTGAAATCATCAGCCAATGTGATCATCACCTACGGTGACAGTGATTTTCTGAGAGGCTTCCTGTTTTATTTAAGACAAACTTTACTAACATGGAAAGTCTGGATCATGAACTCAGAATGGGACGGTGTCATCCAGGCAAAGCATTTCATTTTACATTCACTCCATGGGAGCCTCATCTTCACACATCACCACAAAGAAATCTCTGGTTTCAAAACTTTTATCCAAACAGTTCATCCTTCAAAATATTCAGAAGATTTTTATCTTACAATGTTGTGGTTCTCCTTTTTTAACTGCTCATTTGCTGATGATGACTGCAATACACTGGAAAACTGTCTGCCAAATGCTTCCTTGCATGAGTCACCAAGGACCCATTTTGACATGGTCATGACTGAGTTTGCTTATAATATATACAATGCTGTGTATGCTGTGGCCCACAGCCTTCATGAGATGCTTCTTCATCAAGTAGAAGTAAGACCAATAAGAAAGGCAGAAGAGCTGGTGTCTTCAATCTGGCAGGTAATGTGTCTCTCATTTGGTTGTTCAGAACTTCAACAATGTTATTTTCAAAGTCTTTTTGAGGTCACATTATTTATTTTGGATCTCTAATAGCACAAGATGAACTACTTAGAACTAGTTGTAAGTTAAAACCTATATAGAAATAGTGAAAAAGGACAAAGTGTCCCTGGAGGGAAGACAATGTATTCTAACTCGACAGCAGCGTTTCCTGTTTCCAGATCAAGGATTTCTATAAGATAGATATACAAAGTATATGTTTCTCTTGAGAGCCCAATGCAGGCAGTGGAGGCTGTGGAAACAAACTGTTAGGCTAGAGCTGAATGAAGAAGGTAGAGTGCCTAAGCACATAGAATCAAACAAGACAGAGAGAGGAGTTACAGAGACAAACTGGAGGAAGAGTGTTATAGGTATATTATGCATATAATTATACTAGTATATTATGTATGCAATATAATAAAAGTATGTGGTGATCCACCTATGTAGAAGGGGCTTCAGAAGTAATGGAAGGCACTGAGATGACTGAACATAAGATATTTTGTAAAAACATGCAGCAGAGCCTGTGGAGGCAACCTGGGCAATGCAGATGACTAATGATAAGGTTCCCAGGTATGTATAATTCGAGAAGGTGCAGTGAAGGCTATCGAAGTGGTCAGGGGTGGAGGTTCACGAGTTCGGTGTCCTCATACAAAGTTAGCTAACCTGATTTCAACAGACACAAGGACTTTCCAAAGTGTGCTGAATCTTGGATACTGACTATTATTGGAAAAAGAATCCAATCCTTAAGGAAAAAAACTAGGCATAAAATCTGTCCTGAATACTAGTCAGACAGAGGAAAATTACTCTTCAGTCCTACTAGGATTTAATCCTCAACTGAATTGTAAATGCCTTTAGTAGAAGAGACATGTGACTTGAATTTTCAAAAAAAAATTTATTTGGTTATGAGCCTAGCCTTTAACAGTCTGGACAGATGTCATACAGATCCACAGAGAACACAAATGCAAGGTAAGGCTACTATACCCAGAAAAACTCTCAATTTACTTAGGTAGAAAAACCAAGATATTCCATGACAAAACCAAATTTACAGAGTATCTTTCCACAAATCCAGCCCTACAAAGGATAATAGACGGAAAACTCCAACACAAGGAGGGAAACTACACCCTAGAAAAAGCACGAAAGGAATCTTTCAGCAAATTCAAAAGATGATAGGCACAAAAACATAATCATACCTCTAAAAACAAAAATAACAGGAAGCAACAATCACTTTTCCTTAATATCTCTTAACATCAATGGACTCAATTCTCCAATAAAAAGACATAGACTAACAGACTAGATGTGTAAACAGGACCCAGCATTTTTCTGCCTGTAGGAAAGACACCTCAGTGACAAAAACAGACACTACCTCAGAGTAAAAGGAAACAATTTTTCCAGCAAATGGTCCCAAGAAACAAGCTGGAGTAGCCATTCTAATATCGAATAAAATAGACTTTCAACTAAAAGTTTTCAAAAAAGATAAAGGAAAAACCTACCAAGATGAACTCTCAATTTTGCACACCTATGCTCCAAATGCAAGGGTACTCATGTTCACAAAAGAAACTTTACTAAAGCTCAAAGCACACATTGCAACTCACACAATTATAGTGGGAGACTTCAACTCCCCACTCTCAGGAATTGACAGACCATGGGAACAGAAACTAAACAGGCACAGAGTGAAATTAACCTAAGTTAAGAACCAAATAAATTTAACAGGTATCTACAGAATATTTCATCCTAAATCAAAAGAATATGCCTTCTTCTCAGCATCTCATGATACCTTCTCCAAAACTGACCTTAATATTGGCCACAAAACAAGCTCAATAGATACAAGAAGATTGAAATAATCCCATCCATCTTATTAGATCATCATGGACTAAGGCTCGTCTTCAATAACAACAAAAACAATGGAAAGCCCCCACCCACATGGAAGCTGAATAAAGCTCTACTCAGTGACAGCTTGATCAAGGAAGAAATAAAGAATAAAATTAAAGACTTTTTAGAATTTAATGAAAATAAAGGCATATCACACCAAAACTTATAGGGCACAATGAAAGCAGTGCTAAGAGAACAACTCATAGCCCTAAGTGCCTACAAAAAGAAACTAGACAGAGCACATACTAGTAACTTGACAGCACCCTGAAAGCTCTAGAACAAAAAGAAGCAAATACACCAAGAGAGGAGTAGACAGCAAGAAATAATTAAACTCAGGGATAAAATAACCATGTAGAAACAAAAAGAACTACACAAGAATCAACAAAATCAGGAACTGATTTTTTAAGCAAATCAACAAGATAGATAAACCCTTAGTGAGACTAACCAGAAGATACTGAGACAATGTTCAAATTAACAAAATCAGAACTGAAAAAGTATATGTAACAACAGAAACTGAGAAAACTCGAAAAATCATCAGATCCTACTACAAAAGCCTATACTCAAAGAAACAAGAAAATGTGGATGAGATGGATAATTTTCTAGGCAGATACCAGGTACCAAAGTAAATCAGGATCAAATAAACTATCTAAACTGCCCTATAACCCATAAAGAAATCAGCAGCAATCATTAAAAGTCTCCCAACCAAAAAAAAAAAAAAAAAAAAGAGGCCAGGACCAGACGGTTTTAGTGCAGAATTCTATCAGACCTTCAAAGTAGACCAAATATCATTACTGTTCAAACCGTTGCACAAAACAGAAACAGAAAGAACACTACACATTTTCTTCTATGAAGCCACATTTATGCTTATACCTAAAACTTAAAAAGACTCAACAAAGAGAGAGAACTTCAGACCAATTTCACTTACGATTATTGATTTAAAAATACTCAATAAAACTTTTGCAAACTGAATATAAGAATACATCAAAACAGTCATCCATCATGATCAAGTAGGCTTCATTCCAGGGATACAGGGATATAAATAACCTCAAAGAAAACTACCACATAATCATCTCATAACAAGCTGAGAAAGTATTTGAAAAAATTCAACAAACCTTTTATGGAAAAAGTCTCTAAAGGATAGGAATTCAAGGCCCATACATAAACAGAGTAAAAGCAATATACAGCAAACCAGTAGCTAACATCAAACTAAATGGAGAGAAACTTGAAGCAATCCCACTAAAATCAGGGACTAGACAAGGCTGCCCACTCTCTCCCTGCCTATTCAATATAGTACTCAAGTCCTAGCCAGAGCAATTAGGCAACAAATGGAGGTCAAAGGTATACAAATTGCAAAGGAAGAAGTGAAAATATCACTATTTGTAAGTGATATGATAGTATACTTATGTGTCCACAAAAATTCCACCAAAGAACTACTAAGCCTGATAAACAACTTCAGCATCGTGGCTGGATATCAAATTAACTCAGACAAATCAGTAGCTGTCCTCTAATCAAAGGATAAACAGACTGAGAAAGAAATTATCAAAATGACACCCTTCACAATAGTCACAAATAATATATAATATCTTGGTGTGAACCTAACCAAGCAAATTCTATATGACAAGATCTATATGATAAGTACTTCAAGCCTCTGAAGAAAGAAATCAAAGAAGATCTCAGGATATGGAAAGATGTCTGATGCTCATGAATTGGCAGGATTAATATAGTAAAAATGGCCATCTTGTCCAAAGCAATCTACAGATTCAATGCAATCCCTTTTAAAAGCCCATCTCAATTCTTCATAGAGTTAAAAAGAGCAGGTTGCAAATTCATTTGGAATAACAAAAAACCCAGGATAGTGAAAACTATTTTCAACAATAAAAGAAGTTCTGGGGAATCACCATCCCTGACCTCAAGCTGTATTACAGTGTAGTAGTTTAAAAAAAAAAAACCTTTATAGTACTGGTACAGAGACAGAAATAAAAATCAATGAAATAGAACTGAAGACCCAGAAATGAACCCACACACCTATGGTCAATTGACTTTTGACAAAGGCAATAAAACCATCCAGTAGAAAAAAAGACAGCATTTTCAACAAATGGCAGTCAGCATGTAGAAGAATGTAAATCGATGCATTCCTATCTACTTGTACAAAGCTCAAGTACAAATGGATCAAGGAACTCCACATAAAACCAGACACACTGAAATTAATAGAAGAGAAAGTGGGGAAGAACATCAAACACATGGACACAGGGGAAAATTTTAATGGGTATAGTAGCCTGGGCTGGCATTTGTGTTTTCTAGTGTGTGTATGACATCTGACCAGAATCTTCTGGCTTTTAAAGTATCTGTTGTGAAGTCTGATGTGATTCTGATAGGTCTGACTTTATGTATTACTTGACCTTTGTTCCCTTACTACTTTTAATATTCTTTGTTTGTTTTGTGCATTTTGGTGTTTTGATTATTATGTGATGAGAAGAATTTCTTGTGTGGTCCAACCTATTTGGAGTCCGGTAGGCTTCTTGTATGTTTATGGGCATTTCTTTCTTTAGGTTAGGGAAGTTTTACACTATAATCTTGTTGAAGATATTACTGGCCCTTTGAGTTAGGAACCTTTGCATTCTTCTATACCTACTATCCTTAGGTTTAGTCTTCTCATTGTTTCCTGGATTTCCTGGGTATTTGTGCATAGAAGCATTTTGCATTTTGTGTTTTCTGTGACTGTTTTGTCAAAGTTTTCTATGGTATCTTATAAACCTGAGATCCTCTCTTGTATTTTGTTGGTGATGCTTGCATCTGTGACTCTTTATCTTTTTCCTAGGTTATCTATCACCAAGATTGTCTCCTTTTGTGATTTCTTTATTGTTTCTGTTTCCATTTTTAGATTCTGGATGGTTTTGTTAATTCCTTCGCCTTTTTGTTTGTGTTTTCCTGTATTTCTTTACGGGATTTGTGTATTTCTTCTTTAAGAGCTTCTATCTGTTTACCTGTGTTGTCCTGTATTTCCTTAAGGGAGTTATTTGTATCCTTTTTAAAGTCCTCTATCATCACCATGAAATGTGATTTTAAATCAGATTCTTGCTTTTCTGGTGTGTTCGGGGTATCCAGGGCTTAAGGTTGTGGGACAACTGGGTCGTGATGATGCCCAATAGCCTTGGTTTCTGTTGCTAAGGTTCTTGTGCTTGGCTTTTGACATCTGTTTATCTCTGGTGTTAGCTGGTCATCCTGTCTCTGACTGGAGCTTGCCCTTCCTGTGAGCCTATGATCCTGTGATCTAAGGTGTGCTAGAACTCCTGCGAGACCAGCACTCTCCAGACAAGATTTGGGTATGGAGAGCTGTGGTACAGGGTTATCTCCCAGGCACAGTTGGAAATCAGAAGGATCTTGTCCCTAGCTACTCCAAGGATCCTGTGCCCTATGGGCTCCTGGCTGGTCCCTCTTGGTCCAGCTGTGACCTTAGGTGTGTCAGTACTCCTGAGAGACTGGCTCTCTCAAGGAGGGATTTGGGTATGGAGACCTGTGGCACAAGGTTATCTCACAGGTGCAGATAGAAACAATAAGCAGCTTATGTTTTTTTAATTGGGGAATTGAGTCTGTTAATATTGAGAGAGAGTAAAGACAGATCATTGTTAATCCTTATTATATTTCCTGTGTAGGTGACATTATACATATAATGTCACCTCCTTTTGCTTTTACGGTGAGATGGTTAATTTCTTGTTTTTTCATTGGCATAGGTACCCTCTTCGTGTTGGAATTTTCTACCTAGAATCCTCTGTAGGACTGGATTGGTAGATATATATTATTTAAATTTCGGTTTTCCGTGGAATATTTTGCTGTCTCTATCTATGGTGATTGAAAATATTGCAGGGTGTAGTAGCCTGGGCTGAGCAGCCTTCAGACTGTGTGGTTTTCAGAGGGGCAGACAAGCAGATGCCCTGCCCTGGCAAGAAGGGAGGCAGAGTTTGAGAGTACAGGATGTGTTCCTGCATTTGCTGGGCTCCTTGGGGATCCCAGCTTCTGCGGTTATTTGCAAGGGACCCTTACCTGTTGGCCTAGGTGCACCAGACCTCCTGGGAGGCCTTCATAGGACCAGAAAAGCTGATGACCTGCCCTAGCAGAATGCACAGGCTGGATGGGCGAAAAATACATTCTTAACAAAAATAACAGAAATACTCATGTCAATTTTATATTGTTCTCATTTCTGTAACTAGTCATGTGCCATTAACTTATATTTATCTTTCTCTAATACCCTTTCAGTCTTTGCTCCACCCTTGTTAAGCACCTCAGCAAGTCTTAGTGTTTTTCCTGAAGGAATGACCTATCCTTCATACCCTTTGTCATCTTGCAGGGATTAGGCTGCTGCAGTTTTCATTGATTTAATTGACATGACAGCAACAAGAAACACCCTAAAGCATTGCCTGCACACCAGTCATGATCCTTCTTACCTCCAAGGTGGAAAAGCCAGGCAAATATCCCCTTCTTAATCTGGATCAGTCACCCCTCCTGTTACTCCTTTTTTAGCCTGCTCAGGGAGTAAGGTACTCCTGTGACAGGCTTGAGGATGCTTCTTATTCACAGAATGTGGACTTTATAACTTTGTATTAAAAATGCAGTTAAATGCTTTAGGCAGGGCTTAACGGGACAAACACATAGAAACATAGAAGACCAACCAACCAAGAGCAATGTACATTATGATGGCCTGACTAAGAAGGTTTCAAACAACAATATTAGTAAAGGGCCTACAGATCATTCTTGAAATATTCTGTAGAAAAAAGTGGTTGCTTTCTTCCCTTTTCCAAAAAATACCTGCTTAGGCTTTAGCCTTCAATTTATTTAAGAGTTCTGGATAAATGACATTGGCAGATGAGATTTCAAGACAGTCTAATATTAATTCTATTGTGGTGATTAGTGCTCTTATGCAGATCTACAATGAAAAGAAACAAGCTGATCAAGAAAAACTACAAAAGGTTCAATTTGAAGAAGAGAGGAAGACGAGGAAGTGTAATCACACTAAGTCCTGTACTCAAGGAGACAGAAAGATCTTAAAGCCTGATGTTAAATGTATATTCTGTGCAAATATATGTTCGAAGTATGTGATCTGTATTTTAATTTAAGGGCTGATAGTTAAGAGATTGCTTTCAGTCTCAGAAGGGACTTTGAACTTTGCGCTATTAACCAGTGTTGAGGCTATGATAAGCTATGAGGAATTTTGAAGGTGAATTAATTGTATTTTGCATTATACTATACAAACAACTCTATGAGGGAAGGGCAGGGTGGGATGTAGTGGTTTGTTTATGAAAGACCACCATAGGTTCATTTGCTTGAATGCTTATTCACCAGAGAATGGCACTTTTAAAAGGACCAGGAGGTGTGGCCTTTATGGAGTGTGTTTGGCATTGTTGGAAGAAGTGTGTCACATGAGTGGGCTTTGATGTTTCAAAAGCCCAAGGCAGACCCCACGAACTTCCCTTCTTCCTGCTGCCTATGGATCCAGATATAAAACTGTCAGCTCCTTCTCTTGAACCATGTCTGCCTACATCCCATCATGCTTCCCACTATGTTGATAATGGAATAAACTTCTGAATCTATAAGCCTCAATTAAATACTTTCCCTTAAAAGAGTTGTCATTATCATGATGTATATTTACAACAATAGAAGACCGGTCATCATTATAATAATACCTAGCTGTCAAGCTTGTAAACTTTAATACCATCTTCCTAAACAAGATGCACCCATTTAGAAAATAGTGACACTCCTGTTATGAGGGTAAACAGCCTGTAATGGCATTTAAGGCTCACTCCATAGCAGAGAATCCTTGAATAATCTTGAAATATAGTTAAAAACATGTAACTGAGGAAGTCATAAACCATAATGGGGAACTTATTACTGTTTGGTTAAATTTAAACAGGACCAAACTCTCTCTTTTTTTTTTTATTGGATATTTTATTTACATTTCATATGTTATACCCTTACCCATCCCCCACCCACCCGGGAACCCCCCATCCCCTTACCCCTCCTCCTTCTTCTCTGTGGATGTAACCCCCACCTACCCCCCCACTCCCACTTCCCCACCCTCAAAATTCCCACCCCCTGGGGCGTCCAGCCTTCATGAGGTCAAGGATCTCATCTTCCACCTGTGCCCGGAAGGGCCCTCTACTCTTACATATTCAGCTGAAGCCCTGGATCCCTCCATAAGTGCTCCCAGGCTGGTGGTTAGGACACTGGGAGCTGTGGTTGGTTGGTTTTGTTGCTCTCCTCATGGTGCCACAAACCCTTTCAGCTCCTTCAGTCCTCACTCTAACTCCTCCATTGAGAACCTCATGATCAGTTCAATGGCTAGTTGTGAGCATCTGCCTCTGAGTATGTCAGACTCTTGAAGACCTCTGAGGAGACATCCATATCAGGCCCTTATCGGCATGCACTTCCTGACTTCCACATCAGCATCTACCTTTGGTGACTGCATATGGGGTGGATACTCAGGTGGAAAGGTCTTCAAATGGCCCATCCTTCAGTTTCTGTCCCTCACTTTGTCTCCATGTTTGCTCCCTTGAGTATTTTGTTGCTCCTTCTAAGAAGAACTGAATCACCCCCACTTGGTCTTCCTTTTTTATGAGCTTCATGTGGCCTGTGAGTTGCATCTTGGGCATTTCAAGGTTCTGGACTAATATCCAATAATCAGTGAGTGAATACCATGTGTGTTCTTTTGTTATTGGCTTACTTCACTCAGGAAGATATTTTCTAGTTCCATCCATTTGCCTAAGAATTTCATGAATTCATTGTTTTTAATAGCTGAGTAATACTCCATTGTGTAAATATACCACATTTTTTGAATCCATTCCTCAGTTGAAGGACATCTGGGTTCTTTCCAGCTCCTGGCTATTATAAATAAGGCTGCTATGAACATAGTTGAGCATATGTCCTTGTTATATGTTCGAGCATCTTCTGGGTATATGCCTAGGAGTGGTATAGCTGGATCCTCGGGTAATGCTATGTCCAATTTTCTGAGGAACCGCCACACTGATTTCCAAAGTGGTTGCACCATCTTGCAGTCCCACCAACAATGGAGGAGTGTTCCTCTTTCTCCACACCCTCGCCAGCATCTACTATCACCTGAGTTCTTAATCTTAGCCATTCTGACTGGTGTGAGATGGAATCTCAGAGTTGTTTTGATTTGCATTTCCCTGATGACTAAGGACATTGAACATTTCTTTAGGTGCTTCTCGGCCATTCGAGTTTCTTCCATTGAAAATTCTTTGTTAAGCTCTATACCCCATTTTTTAATAGGGTTATTTGGTTGTCTGGAGTCTAATTTCTTGAGTTCTTTGTATATATTGGATATTAGCCCTCTATCAGATGTAGGATTGGTAAAGATCTTTTCCCAATTTGTTGGTTGTCGTTTTGTCCTATTGACAGTGTCCTTTGCCTTACAGAAACTTTGCAATTTTATGAAGTCCCATTTGTCAATTCTCGATCTTAGAGCATATGCCATTGGAGTTCTGTTCAGGAACTTTTCCCCTGTGCCCAAGTATTCGAGGCTTTTCCCCACCTTCTCTTCTATTAGTTTCAGTGTATCTGGTTTTATGTGGAGGTCCTTTATCCACTTAGACTTGAGCTTTGTACAAGGGGATAAGAATGGATCAATTTTCATTCTTCTACATGTTGTCTTCCAGTTGAACCAGCACCATTTGTTGAAAATGCTGTCCTTTTTCCACTGGACAGTTTTAGCTCCTTTGTCAAAGATCAAGTGACCATAGGAGTGTGTGTTCATTTCTGGGTCTTCAATTCTATTCCATTGATCTTCCTGCCTGTCTCTGTACCAATACCAGGTAGTTTTTATCACTATTGCTCTGTAGTACAGCTTGAGGTCAGGGATGGTGATTCCTCCAGAAGTTCTTTTATTGTTGAGAATAGTTTTCGCTATCCTGGGTTTTTTGTTATTCCATATGAATTTGAGAATTTCCTTTTCTAACTCTGTGAAGAATTGAGTTGGGATTTTAATGGGGATTGCATTGAATCTGTAGATTGCTTTTGGCAAGATGGCCATTTTTATTATATTAATCCTGCCAATCCATGAGCATGGGAGATCTTTCCATCTTCTGAGATCTTCTTCAATTTCTTTCTTCAGAGACTTGAAGTTCTTGTCATACAGGTCTTTCACTTGCTTGGTTAGATTCACACCAAGGTATTTTATATTATTTGCAACTATTGTGAAGGGTGTCATTTCCCTAATTTCTTTTTCAGTCTGTTTATCTTTCATGTACAGGAAGGCTACTGATTTGTTTGAGTTGATTTTATAACCAGCCACTTTGCTGAAGTTGTTTATCAGGTTTAGGAGTTCTCTGGTGGAAGTTTGGGGGTCACTTAAGTATACTATCATATCATCTGCAAATAGCGATATTTTGACTTCTTCCTTTCCTATTTGTATCCCTTTGACTTCTTTTTGTTGTCTAATTGCTCTGGCTAGGACTTCCAGTACTATATTGAATAGGAAGGAGGAGAGTGGGCAGCCTTGTCTAGTCCCTAATCTTAGTGGGATTGCTTCAAGTTTCTCTCCATTTAGCTTGATGTTGGCTACTGGTTTGCTGTAAATTGCTTTTACTATGTTTAGGTATGGGCCTTGAATTCCTGATCTTTCCAAGACTTTTATCATGAAGGGATGTTGAATTTTGTCAAATGCTTTCTCAGCATCTAGTGAGATGATCATGTGGTTTTTTTCTTTGAGTTTGCTTATATAGTGGATTACATTGATGGATTTCCGAATATTGAACCACCCCTGCATTCCTGGGATAAAACCTACTTGATCATGATGGATGATTGTTTTGATGTGTTCTTGGATTCGGTTTGCTAGAATTTTATGGAGTATTTTTGCATCGATGTTCATAAGGGAGATTGGTCTGAAGTTCTTTCTTTGTCGAGGACCAAACTCTCTTTTAAATATATGTTTAAGGCTGTATACCAATGCTAATCTGAGCCTAAATTGAAGAAGCCTCTCTTCACAGGAGGTGCCAATCCAGTTACACTTGACCAAGTGGCTGAGATAAGTGACTGTCGAGTACTGAGCTCCATATTAAACATTAATAACACATTTCTCTAAGGCTCAGGGAACATTCCTGAGAAGGAGGGTGGAAATAATATTGGAGCTGGAAGACATGAAGAAGTGCTGGAAAATGTCATCTTCTAAGATACAATCGTGGCAATCTTGACCTCATAGAAGCTGAAGTTACTTGTGCTGGATTTGCACAAGACTAGCTATATCAACAATGAGTCATGGAAACAGAAGGGTTCCCTACACTCCCTGCTGAACTAGAGGGTATTAAAATGTCTGAAAGATTAGACCACTGACATCTACCCCCAAGATGCAGAAGTTTCAAACTATGATCAAACAGAAAAA